GTATCCGTCGCCACGTTGGAGTAAAGAATGCAGCCACGCCCTCCACATTTTCGGATACGGAGGACATTTTTGTTTTGCTTGGTTTTTGGAATTAGCGATATCAGACGCTCCCGGAGATATGGTGAAGGCCAGAATGTTATAGCCATTTATAAAAGTGGGTTCATATGAACCTCCTGTTTAGTTTAGTATCATCAAAAACTCACGCTGAAGAGGTCGAACCATCATTTCCGGACTGCGAACGTTGCGATCTCTTAAGGGCAGCTAATATACCAGACAATTTTTCAGCAAGCGAGTGCTTTGACTGATCCATTATCTGCAAGCATCAAATTATTATGAGGTGAAGTTGGTTAGGGGAATGAGGTCGAACGCAGGAACCGAGCTTCAGTTCCGCCCAACCCAAAGGGACCAGACGTAGTTCGACTCGGGGGGGGGGCATTTCTATTTTCGCTACTTGCCACTGTCGTGATCATTGCTTTGTGAAAGAGTTGACTAGTAATTTCTCCAAATTTTGACTGGTATTACTTCATGGTTTGACATTTTCTAAAGAGCTCTATTTGATGGCTCGACACGACGATGGGAAGCAACAAAAGTGCAAAATAGTACCTCTCCCCCCAAGCTGAACTGCGCCAACAAAAATTTCAGCACAGAAAGGTGGAACATAGATGGCAAAAGCTTCTAGAAGTTTCACGAAAGCGATGCAGATTCCGTCGATTTGCGCCACTTTGTCTGAGAGGAAACACGTGGGCCCCCTGACAAAGAGCCATCCCGACCATGACGAAAGTGTGGGCGGAGAGCCTGCACATCTGCCCATTTTGAATGCCTCTTTGTACATCATTTGACAATGAAGCTGCGCAATTGGGAGAAAACGATCAATTGATTGGACTTCTCCTAATCAGCCAATAGATTCTCCATTTCTCCATTTGAAGAGAGTCAAAAGCGATATCTTATCGTAACTCATTCCTTTCGCGATTCCGATTCCGTGATTCTTAGGAATTGCCCAGAGAGCAAGAGGGTGGATTCAAGGCACACCTAGCGTTCAAACTGGTGAGTTGTGCGGCTAAAATACTCATGTCAAGGCAGTAAGTGGTGCAGTTTTCAGGGAAAGAAAAACAGAAAAATTCATTCGAAATGCGCGGTATAGGACACCATGTCGAACCGAGCTTGCGTGTGTAGAAGGCGGAGCGTGTAGTCGGGCAAGTTCTGCTTGTTAGTGTCACTCTTTCTCCTCACCACCTCACTCTCACCGTTCGAAATGGAGAGAACTAGTAGCAGAACAATCCCATTAATAAAGAGCCGTTAGAAAGTTGGGTGTTGTGCTGGGCAGTGGGCGGGGCATTGTCTTCGCCGTGGACGGATCGCGCCTTCCTCACCAGGGCACATCGTTGATGGAACGCCCCAATTAGAGGGGGGAAGGGGGGGGTCGCATTTGAGCCGTAGGGAAAAATTTTGGATTTAGTTTGATTTTCTCATTCAACAGGACGTTGTAACAGGGGGAGGGTCGTAGCTGGTCATTGTTTGGGCAGGGTGGGGCGGGGGTCGTAATTCACGCTTTTGGCGTTGTATGGAGTGCGTGTTGAGCTTTTGCGATTTTTCCCTGTGTTTCACGGTGTGACTATTACCCCTCCCCCCCGTTACCGACCCGCGGCTCGATTTCGATGAGGAGGAACAAAAGCGCTGAAGGGGAGGGTCGTACCAACCCCCCCCCCGCTTTTTTTTGGGGGGGGTCCTCGACTGAAATCCCCAACCAATGATGTGCCCTGTTCCTCACGTATTTTCGAGCTGTGAAAGTAGCACATACCCTTTGCGTGCGGAAAGGAATATCTTATCGGCAGGCGTCTTGACGTCAAACGAACGCAGGGCAGCTTCTATCTAATCTATTTCACCAATTATTCCAACCACGTGATTCAAAGGTTCTCCAAAGGCGTTACGTTTGAACATGGTCCGATGATTTCGCATCGCACAAAAATACCGGTAACTATGGAACTCTTTACTCCCAGACTCAGGCGATCAACACACTCTAGGGCAACATTCCTATTTCACTGCCTAGAAATTGCTACTTTCACTAGAAAGACTCAGAACTTACCAACAGCGCCAAACTCGCCCTTCTTCTACAAGCTATTATATTCTACGAATACACATGACATCTTATTTAGAAACGAGGTACCTATGCAATGGGAAGGAAACAGGCGAAAAACCCCTAGCGCCATGGCACATTTCAGGGAAATCTTTTGGCTCTGTCGTCAGTTTACAGGCTTTGTCCGCAACGCACACCACAGCTTTGCTTACCAGTAGAGCTTCGATTTTTAGCATCTTAATTTGATTTATTCTTTTGACTGGTTTCCTGTCTGCTGTAAAACATTTTTGAAATTAACGATCAATTCAATCTGCAAGGGCAGTGTGGACGTAAGGTTTATTCGGTGTACGTAATTGGAGCGGACACGTATGTATGCATATATACCACACAACAAGCATTCCAGTAGTAGCGTAACACATACAATGAGCCCACTGAATATCGATTATACAGAGAGATTATGGTAACATCACAATTCGCTGCATTTCTTTTCATCGAGTGACGAGGGGCTCACTTCAAGAGTTAATGGTAATAGATGGTAATAGAAAAATACAGCAGTAGTGAAGCTTTTACAATGACAGTGTGGGAGGAGCTTACTTGAAAGCTGATTTGTTACATCGACATTTATCACCGCTATTTAATTGAGGGATGTAGGTAGATAGCCCTACATGGTATTGTGCGCAATTGAACAGCGAATCCTAGATAGCTAGTTGTGCATGGTATGGTGATGATCCGAAGAGGAAATGAGTTTCGAGTCGCATTTGAGAGATCCTGAATCCCTATAAAGCGAAACTTACCTCATAGTAGAAGAATAGCTTTGCAGGGAAAAGCTCAAACCAGAAGGCGTTTCTATCCTATAGTGAGCCCTCCTCCTGGGGAGTGATGAGACAAAACTAACCAGAGTTCCAGCTCAGTCTGTGAGAGAACACCGGAATACGGGGCCATACTCTTCTATTCGTGAGTAAGAACACGATTGCGTGCGATGGCCTATACAATGACTTGTGGACCACCTCAATTTACTTATATGAGTTGCTGTTTCTACTCAGAAGCAAGCGGTCTTAACCGAATCCGAGGATGACGTTAGCTTTACAGATCCCGGTAGAGAACTTATTCGCGTGCGTGAAGCGTTCTTTTGCCAACACATAAACTTGGTTTATGTTGCATATGTAAATGAGATACGTACCTGATTACTTTGTGACAGCTAACAGATCTCGTTCCTGACGTGCTTGTTGTGTGCGCTGTACTAAACTATTGTGATTAGATTTTTCAATATCGAATATGAATTTTCAGCCGGCAGCCAACGAAAAGCTACCAAATTTGTGTGACTCGATGTGTAGTACGAGCTTTTCATGACATAAAATGGTCTATTATGGTCAAAGGCGAAAGAGACCATGCGTTTGCCATATGTGTATGCATAAGCAGCTGAATTTTCGGAAACTGTCGTTCACCATTTGAAAAATGCCGATACTCCCGTTTCCTTTAATTCCTACTAATTAAACTTGTCCAGAGTGAATGTCTGAGTTTCTGCAAGTAGTGCAGCAGCAAGCATTTGCTCAGTTTTTCTTATTTCTTTTCTGCGTCTTACGCGCTGCACACGAGCTTTCCTAGCGCTTGGGTGTGGGAGGGCTCCAAAGACGCCGAAAAACCTGGATGATGAAATCTCTTTCGGCGTCGTCACGAGGGAAGTCCTCGTGACTCCGCCCCTTAGATACTGTCGAGACCCAACGATAATTCAAGAATATTCTTTGGCTGGTTTCCTGTCATTCTCTTCTTTCTGCTTCACTCATCTGTAGAGGTCTCCTCTTTTGAGTATGCACGTCCTCCGCGCGTACTAAATTCTAGAGACCTCATGCTATCCTTTCCTTAAGCGGGAGGCCTTCAAATGATTGTTTCTCCGCCCTGCGGTGAGTTGAGAATTGCTAGTGGCTGGGTAGCGACTCTGTCATACCACCCAAATAGCGATCTCCCAACTAAAATAAGCAGAACTGGAGTGTACCACCCGCATTACAAGAACGATGCTGCTGCGCTAAAGACAAGCTGTACACACACTCCGAGAACGGTCCTTTCCATATGCGAGACGAATGAGTCCGCGTTTGCTCATTTTCTCCGCTCAAAAATGCACGGAAATGGGGTTGTGGCGCAGTGATACTCGGGTGTCACATTACTCTACCCGCGCGATCCTAATGTGCTGCAGTACCTTGTCTCGCTACCGAAATCCCGCAGCAAAAAACGCACTCAACTATAGAGCACCAGAAGTGAGAGGGTGCAGACGAGTAGCGCGTTCGGCTATGGCTTTGCGTGTGGCTGGCCGTGCTGCAGCGCGACTAGACCAGAGACGGCAGCCGGTGACCACTACCATCCAAGGGAGACGGGCAAGAGAACCGTAATTTGCCGCTCCGCGGCGATGGGCGCGGCGTTTTCTCAACTTGTGTCAACCTGTCGATTGAAGAATCGGACTGACAGACACACACCCCATGAAGTCCGGGGGTGTGTGTCAGTACTCACCGCCGCGCTCGAAACGTCGCTGCGCTGGAAAGTGGGTCACCGCGCAAACATTAGTGTTACTAGTTGACTATTCTTTACCTAGGCGGAATCAATCGCCACACATCCAAGCCTTCTTCCCAGATTTCTAGTTCGCGCAAAACCCTCGAATGTACACAGTCACGATCCCTGCAAATGATGGACGCGTGAAGCGGCGGATGTTGAAGCGCGGCCGGGGCGGTCTCTCACCACCAATGACGACATCAACCCCTCCCCGCTCCAATTGGCAGAATGTCTGACCTGGCTGCGCTACAAGCCATGCCTCCGCCACACGCCCCATCATTTCCAGGGACCGTATATATTCTCCTTCTCGCAGATTCTTTCTAAATTCCACGATTCTTCGATTCCCAAATTTCGACAAGGCATAAATGCAGCCGTTGTTCGGCTAATCTGTAAAATCAACTACAATAACTCACTTTTATTAAACAGAACATAATTACATCGCTGCTAAAATTGAAATTGAACAATGGCAAAACCGTAGATTCGTTGATAAGTTAAGAGTCATGGTGAAAGATGCTGCACATTTCACTAACATCCAAATTCATCAATCTCTTCTTGACTGGGAAGGCACTAGATTTCCATACACATAGCTAGCAATTGGTACACAGGAAATAACAAGTATAAAACGCATATCAACAAGTAGTTCTATAACTATATTTCATCTAGAAACCCTAAATAAATAGAAACTATTCTATTTGTAAGCATACTGGAACTTTAAACTTTCTAAATCATCAATTAAAGCAGCCCACGGGGTTGACCAAAGCTAAAACATCGTAAAGGGACATCAGGTCGGGCAGTGAAGATGGGTATAAATTATCTTTGAATCAACAGCTGATGAATAAATCAGAGAGCTGGCCCTCAATTACTGACTGAGGCTGACTGGGACTCCATACGATGTAAGGTTTGGGCTATTGTATCTCGGAAAACCTGATGTCCTTGTAAGTAGGCAGTCACATGTCCAGCATCATTGATTTCAAGAACACGCATTCCTGGCCAAACTTGCTGAAATATGTGCAACTATGTGGCGTTCGCTGCTCTGGACCAAACAAAATTGGAAAGCCCAATGCATGGTCCAGAACACCAGAACCGGAAATTAAATTTCTGGGCCCGTTTGACCCGAATTTTCTGAATGCGGGCTTATCAATTTCGTGTAATATAGCTATATCTAACTTCTTACCCGAAAATCTGGAGCGCCATGATTTCGCAGAACGTACGCATCATGTTCTGCAACAACTGCTGTGCACACCGATGTGTCCACTGGCACTGGATAATTAGATAACAAAGTGAACTCGTCCATTAGTATACACATCATATTGTACGCTAGCCCACGACGATTCGAATCATTTCGTTTGTACTGAAAATAGAAACATACTTTCCGGTCTACCACACAAGATAAAGAGGTCTCAGTAGTAGTTGCACCCGTACACCGAGTACAGTACCGTTTGCGTCAAGGCAGAGAGGTCGCCTAAGGCAGCGTTCGGACTTCGTTTCAACGCGCGTCGACGCGCTGCAATTGCAACACCGCTCAATGCCATAGACGCAAACGCAGCCGCAACCGGGAATCGAACGGAGACGCCCGTTCATGTATTGTAGGAGTACGGGGGCAGGTTGCTCAATCATGCGGTCTGGTATCGATCGCACTAGTCGCTAGGTCGACGTCGATCGATTCCTCTCTGTGGCTGCGTTCGCGCGTATAGGATCGGAGCGCTGCTGCAACTGTAGCGCGTCGACGCGCGTCATCGCGAAGTTCAAACGCTGCCTAACTGTAGGTTTTTCGGAAGCAGTCTACCACAAAAGAGTACGTCTGCAACGAACCAAAGCTCTTCGATCCACCCCGTGAGATGCCTTCTAACCCCTACTTCGTACTATCGGCGAGTCACACTACACGCTGCTCTAATTCCCGTTTTCATATTGAACTGAAAATCAAAAGCATGTTGCCGATGTCATATGGAACCCTTTCACTGTACAAAGTGGGCATGTACAGATGTGCCGCCTTTGCGCACTAGAGGGCCAAGGCAACTGCGGCTCGCGGTACCTTGGTATTAGTGGTGTCTCCGCTCACCACTCCACGCACCATACGACCATGTCATATGCGCGGCTCGTCTGCGCCCTCTCACCTAGATAGCGGCCGAACTCATTTAGAAATGGATTCCTGCATTTCTGGTCGACTGATTTCGATTAGGAAAACAATGTATACAAGAAACGCAGAACAGAACTGCCATTCAAAAGCATCTCAAAAATTATGACTTTGCTGCACTGTGTGATTCCAGGCTGGTTCTGACAGCTGTTGCAGCTCCGTGCAACAAAGAAAGTGGCATACCTTCTGGAAAAACCGCTTACAATCGGAATTTTGCATTATGGTAAGATGTTTCTTTTCTTATGCTCTGCTTCCGAAGTCAATTTTTTTTTTTGAGGAGGGCTCATTAGGCTCCAACCTAACCTAGTGGAAAATATGTTAGGCTGAGATGCAGACGAGCTGTCTGTACGACTTGGTCGTGTTGCGTATCGAAAAGTGGGTGGACACGTCAGTAACATCGAGGTATCACAAGCCTCTACCTTCCTGACCACGAAGTCGAATGGCAAAAAAGGCGCACTTGTACGGCTCACCAATATGCCGTCAAAACAAACCAGAATAACTTACCATTTCTTCTACCCAATTCACTCCAGGAATGCTTCTCAATTTGTCCAGATAATTTCTGTCTTCGAGCTGCTGTTGAAGGTGCTCATATTTGATAGCCTGTCGTAGAGCACCTGCAATATAAGAGGAATTTGGAGCCTGCAGGGATACAAAGAATTATAAAAAGGAGGAACATTATAGATCCTTACCTTCCGTAAAGGCCGGCCTGGCTGTCGTCCACGACAAGCAAGGAACAACTGCAACTGGTGTCCGTGTGTTGGTCGCAGCTAGCGATGCCATGAACCCGCCCATAGAGACCTAGAAGACGTAGGAATAAGACTATAGCAACTGGAAAAAAAACGAAACTGAAAAAACGAAATAAAAGAAAACTCACTCCAGACAAAGCCATCGGCCCATAGCCTTCAGACTGCGCCCATGACCTCAGAAACGTGCACTCAGAAATCAGAGCTGCTCCCATCACGAACAGATCAGAAACACTTTCAAGCGACGATCGAAATTGTGATGGCGGTTTACGATCAGCATAGAACGGATTTTGTAGAAGAATCGAACCTATGCCTTCCTCGAGGAGGCCGTTTACGAAACCCAATTCACGCCTGAAATGGGGTATTGAGGAAATTCAGTTCATGAGTCCTCTGTGAAAACCAGAATATGTAAAAAAAGAGGTATATGTCGAGCAGACTTGGTGGTGATCAGTAACGAGCAACAGTCAACCTTTTGAGAAGGCTAGTGGTATATTGGGACTAAAAACCCTCATTAGAAATGGGAACCCATTGCTCGCGCCTTTACTCAACACCGATCATTTTTTCGTCTATACGGGACGGGTCGGTACTACGTGTGCTGAGGCTTGCTGTCGGTAAAGTGACTAAATGAAGTTCCCGTTTAAGAAGTATTAGTGGCTCCCGAATATGTCAGTGGTCTCATGACCTATCGTGGCAATCTTTGGAAGGATTTTGAGCGCTAACTTCAGTGCGTGAACCAGTTGACCACAAATCTTTCGATCGTCCTGGCCATAGTTAAAGACAATTGTGCCTTCTTCTCCATAGATCCTGGTCCTTGACATGTTTGGGGAAAAGCCGCAGCTGAAGTAGTGGCCTCTTTCTCCGTTTAAAAGTGCATGGGAACGGGGC